AAAAAGATACAGTGACTGTTTAAGTTATAAAAGGTATTACAGTAACAGAGTCATTGCCAAGAATGATGACATCAGTGTATTCAAAAAGGGGGAAGTATTTTGAAATTTTAAAAATAATTTAGGGGCTGGGTAGCTCAATAGTTCAGCATAGTTCAATAATACAGCGCTTGCCTGGCAAGCACAAGGCCCCAAGTTTGATTCCCAGCACACACACAAAAAAAAGGCTTAATATTTACCATATTTTTCAGTCACCTCTTACATCTGCCATACAGAATCAATAGGTGGAACCCTGAGTTGCTTCAGTGCCCATCTGAGCTTCCAGAATGGCTTTTGATGGGCAGTTTTCCTGTTCTTAGGCCCAAAGTTGGCACAGGCCCATACCCTAGACAGTGCCTTTCCTTGCTGTGGACTGCACTGTAGATTTATTGTATGTTGCTGTCACTTCAGAATCCAAATGGACACCTATAATCCCAGTTCTCACTTGGGAACCTGAGAAGGGAGGTTCGCTGTGAGTTTGAGGCCAGGCTGAACTCCATTTTGAAACTTTGTCTCAAAAAGACAAAACAAAACAAAAACAAAATGCCAACAAGAACTTTGCACCAAACTCCAAATAGGGGAAGGTTTCATCTTCACCCAGGACGCCTCTAGCATGTGCCGCCACATATTGGTGCTTGAAGCTAACAGCTCAATTTGGTGGGTGGAGAGGGGTAAGGCGGTGGTGGCAGTTGAGATGGAGCTTACGCTACTCCTTTACACGGGGTTTAAAGCCTTCACACGGGGGCCATGTGAACAGGGAAACAGACTGCAAATTGTGCACAGTGAGAACCTGGGCCTGGGTGTGCACCTGCCTGAATACTGTGATCGAGTCCTGAGGCACACAGTGCCAATGAGGAAGGCAAGCCAGGTGCCTGGATCTTGATATCTGGACACCTTCATTTGCCTCTTTCTTTGGAGGGCCGTCCTCAAATGCACAGTGATTCCAGGCTGGCCTCGAATGCACAGTGATCCTCCTGTCTCAGCCCCTGCAGGGCTGGGATTATGCACATTCACCACCACACCTGGCTCATTTGCCTTTTTCTGATGGGACTTTTTCCTTGTTTTTGATTCCTTAGCGGAACTTCCGGAAGCTCTGTGTTCCCCCTCATGCACACAGCCTGATCGGAGCTGGCCTGCACCCAAGAGGCCCTCCCAGTTTGCTCAGTGTAAGTATAATGTGCACTTAAAACTTGTGCATTTAAACCTTGGGACCTGGGGAGGTAGCCTAGCGGCATAAGCACCTATCTGGCAAGAGCAAGGTCCTGAGTTTGATCCCTGGGTGTTTGTGATGAACAAACTTGTGTTTGGTCCACTGCAGAGAGGGGCTGCAAGAACATACTGTGCCATTTCCCTGATGCAGAGTCCATGGGTTTGCTGTCAGACCAGGTCCCTCCTTTGGAGCTCTGTCCAAAGACAAAGAAGATTGAGATTCCCCAATATCGGGCACAGCTACCCCCATGAGCACTTAGAGATCCCAGACACCCTGTAAGCATGCAAGCCAGTTACAGCCAGGTGCTTGTTTCCCCATCTGCTTCGGTACTGCTACTGATGCTTGCATCCCGGAGCCATGGGTTTGGATCCCAGCAGCTCTGCTCTTTATCTGCAGAAGCTGGGATGAGCTACTAAACTTCTTAGAGCTTCGGTTCCCTCATCCGTGAAATGGAGATGGTAGCAGTACTTCTCTTGGTGGGATGGCCATGAGGGTCACGGGCGCAGGCGTGCCAAGAGCCTGAGGTACTCCGGCACACAAGTGTTGGTGAGCACACAAGTGTTGGTGAGCGGTTAGTCACTGATAGGAGGTATAGTTGCTGCAACTGTGTATGCATAGACAATTCCAAGTTGATACACAGATTTTTCAGAGCTTATATGAGTAAAACACCAAAAGATACAATGTTGCTTTTGCTGCTGAGGGAGTTTTTAGTAGATAATCAAAAGCTAACGTGGCCCTGTTCTTGAGGTGGTATTTTCTCCTCCCTAGGGGCCATCAGCCCAACCTTTGACTCAGGGAGCCTGTCCTGCAGCCTGGAAGTCTCGAAGGATTGCCGGACAGTGACGGTGTCTCATCGCCAACAGAACTATCCGTGGAGTCCCCAGAGGTTTTCAGCCAGCCAGGTGTTCTGTTCCCAAGCCCTCTCCTCTGGGCGGCAGTACTGGGAAGTGGACACTCAGCATTGCAACCACTGGGCAGTTGGGGTGGCTTCCTGGACCATGGCCCGGGACCGGATTCTGGGAAGGACTATGGACTCTTGGTGTGTGGAATGGAAGGGGACTGGCAAGCTCTCTGCGTGGACCATGGCCAAGGAAACTGTCCTGGGATCCGACAGACCTGGGGTGGTGGGCATCTGGCTGGACCTGGAGGAGGGGAAGCTTGCCTTCTACTCAGTGGCCAGTGAGGAGAGCCTCCTGTATGAATGCAAGGTCTCGGCCTGCTCTCCCCTGCACCCTGCCTTCTGGCTGTTTGGCTTAAGGCAGGGAAACTCTCTGATCATAAAGCAAGCAAGGATGTAAAGATTCCTCCTGGATTTAAACAGTGGTTTCCTGCAGTCTCTCCCAGCCTTCGAGAAGGCTGGCAACTTGACTAAAGATCCTGCTTTTGAAGTCAGTCCTGTCATGTGGTGCAACAGGACTTAATTGGTTCTGAGTGCTTGGAAGATCTGGCCTAAGAGTGGCCTTGCCTGCCTGGCAGCTCTGGGCCCTGGAGAAGCACCTGGACCTCAGCAGAGGCTGGAGACTCAGTGAGCTCGTGGGCCCCGGCTGTGTCACCATGACTGAGCCCCGGAAAAGCCTGGGAGAGGCCCCCTTTTTGGCAAACTCCATGGCAGGGAACCCTCTTGAACCCTGCTCTGTGTGCTTTTTTCCACTGATGATTTTATTCTGTGGCCTTTCACTGCAATAAAGCGAAATTGTGAGTCCTTGTAACTCATCACACCTGGGGGTGGCCTTAGGGATCCTCCAAATCCAAGGAGCATGGCTTACTTAGCAAAACAACACAGTTATTATCTCAGGGCCTGTGGGTCGGGAGTCAGGGCAGAGTTTACAGCCTGCCTTTCACAAGGTGCGATGGACACATCAGCTGGGCCCACTGTGGTAGCGCCCGAGGCTCAGCCAGGGAAGGATCTGCTCCCAGACCCGGGTGTTGGCAGCACACAGTTCCGGGTGTCTCTGTGGCTGCCAGCTGGAGGTCACCCGTCCTCAGCTGTTGATCCCAGGGGCTTTTGCAACACAGCTGTTTGCATCCTCAGCACCAACAAGGGAGACAAAATCACCCAGCAAGTCACACATGAGATTGGATGCGATAATCACAGTAACACCTGGGCAGGCCTTTGCCCTCATCTGTTGGTTGGAAGAAAGGTGCATAGGTCATAGGTCACACCCACACTGGGGAAGAGGTGTGAAGGCATGAGCGCTGG